CCACCACCTCTGGTATATGGGACCAGAGCCTTACTCCTTTGAGCCACACGTGCTGCCTTATCATTATTAATTTTAATGGAATGTGTCAGACACTGAGCTTTGGTCCTTACATCAAACATTTTGACTTAGACATTATTTGTCACACATTTCAAGGAGATAAACTGAGACTCAGAAGGATTTGCCAGAGGACAGAGGCTAATAAATTGTAGCTACAGGATATTCTATTTTATAGGTTGGCTTTCACCTGCACCAGAAAGCTTTTCAGCATCATGTATGACACTTAGAAGTGAACTAAGAGTCGCTTTAGAGTGACTGAAATTAGCTAGCACTGTTCTTATTTGCCTTCAGAGAGGTCGGACATACTGAGGAAGTTCTACCCTGCTGGGAAACTCCAGGCCTAAAGATCAGATTAATAAAGTTTTTTTTTTTTTTTTTTAGACAAAGCCTCAAGCTGTTGCCCTGGGTAGGGTGCTGTAGCATCACAGCTCCACCTGGCTATTTTTTGGTTGCAGCCGTCATTGTTGTTTGGCAGGCCTGGGCTGGATTCGAACCCACCAGCTCTGGGGTATGTGGCTGGCGCCTTAGCTGCTTGAGCCACAGGTGCCAAGCCATGATTAATAAAGATTTTATATTAAAACCATAACTAGCACATTGTACCCCATGATTGCATTAATGTACACAGCTGTGATTTAATTTAAAAAAAAGCATAAAAATGTCCTGCAGGCTTGGCGCCTGTGGCTCAAGTGGCCAGCCACATACACCTAAGGTGGTGGGTTCAAATCCAGCCCGGGCCAGCCAAACAACAATGATGGCTGCAACCAAAAAAATAGCCAGGCGTTGTGGTGGGCGCCCGTAGTCCCAGCTACTTGGGAGGTGGAGGCAGGAGACTTGCTTGAGCCCAGGAGTTGGAGGTTGCTGTGAGCTGTGATGCTACAGCACTCTACCTAAGGGGACAGCTTGAGGCTCTGTCTCCAAAAAAAAAAAAAATGCCCTGTAAATAGTAAATTCTTATGCAGGTATTAATTGTATTCTTTTTATTTTGCCTTTCTTACTTGGCAGTTTTCACTATGTAATATTGTTTTCTTTTAAAAGGTAATTGAGATCTTTATGGGAGTGTTTGATTTTGAGGATTTCTATGGGGAATCAATAGCCAGATTGTTAAATTTGGGGGGAAAGTGGGTATCCTTGTTTTCCCACTAACATCTATATAAATTTGAAGATTATTCCTATTTTGGGCATAAAAATATCAGGAATATTCTTGATTATATATGATTCAATAATAAAGAGTATAAATACATTTCTAAAAAAAATACTGTAGAATTTTAGAGTAACTTGATTCAGAGGACTTTAGTGGATAGCATTTTGTTTACCCAATTATTGAATTCTTTCTGTAACCACCTACCCATGGAGTCATATGGTTTGTTCTTTTACACTTCCATTGACACGGAAGTGATCATTCCCACTCCTGAGGCAGCTCGTTCCACTTTCCACAGCTCTGACCTTGAGACAGATCTTCCTCACATCAAACTGAGCTCCTTTCCTATGTCTGCCTTCTGCACTTGGTCCTAATTTGGCCTTCATGGTAACATGAAGTGGAACCTTTGTTTCCTAAGGCACTCTTTCAGATTCTTATAGTTTATTCTCTGTCTTAGCCCCAAATACTACCTCTTTACCAGCATAAGCAGGTTCAAGCCTTCCATTCATAACTTCTCCTGAAAAAATGTAATTGAATCTACTTTCTTTTTTTTTTTTTTGAGACAGAGCCTCAAGCTGTCCCCCTGGGCAGAGTGCCGTGGCATTACAGCTCACAGCAACCTCCAACTCCTGGGCTCAAGCGAGTCTCCTGCCTCCGCCTCCCAAGTAGCTGGGACCACAGGCGCCTGCCACAACGCCTGGCTATTTTTTGGTTGCAGCCGTCATTGTTGTTTGGCGGGTCCGGGCTGGGGATTCGAACCCGCCACCTTAGGTGTACGTGGCTGGCGCCTTAGCCGGTTGAGCTATAGGTGCCAAGCCTGAATCTACTTTCTTTTGTCTTCTTGGGGGTACGAGGGTGACAATTAAGTTCACAAACCCATCCTAGAAAAAGTGCTACATACCTCATTGCTGAACTACAGTCATTTTTAGAGTACTTGCCTTGGGAAGCCATGCACTGATACCAGCACCTCAGCTACCCTTCAAAGCAATTTTGGAACTTTTTTTTCTGGATTGACCATCAGAGCTGTCATTGTATGAGGTCTGACAATTAAGTTCACGAACTTGGTACCATGTGCTTATGTTGGCAGCACTGTACAAACAATTCAGTAAGGTTTCATAACCTTGGTGTATCAGTGTCTCACAGCTATGTTCATGTTGACCTGTGATGGTGTCTATTATTGTTGTGTGTGGTTTTTTTTGTGTGTGTGGGCAGTTTTTGGCCGGGGCTGGGTTTGAACCTGCCACCTCCGGCATATGGGGCGGGCGCCCTACTCCTTTGAGCCACAGGTGCCACCCTGTTGTGTGTTTTAGTATGCTATATGACAACAGCTCTGATGGTCATTCCAGAAAGAGTTCCAAAATTGCTTTGAAGGGTGGTACATAGCTTCCCAAGGGTAGTACTTCAAAGGTGTTGTAGTGATGTTCAACAATGAGGTATGTAGCACTTTTTCTAGCATGAGTTTGTGAACTTAATTGTCAGGCCTCATATAGAAGAGAGAGCATGGGTATCTCATGAGCATTTTGCTTCTTCTCAAGTCTGTGCATGTCTCAAGTCTTAATGCATGCTACCATCTACCCAGAAACCTAGGAGTTTGTTCCCCTCACCATTCATATACAGTTCATCAGCCAGTCTTTTTAGTTTTATCCCCAAATATTAATTAAATCCTCTCCCCTACCATCACTATGCTCCAAGCCACATCATCTTTCCCCTGATTCCTAACTCTCACTCCCTCCCTGTACTGCCTCCTCCACCCAGTAACCAGAATTATTTCTTTAAAGCATAAATCAGATCATGCTACTTCCCTGATTAAACTCTTCTTCCCTTTCCTATCACCCTTAGAACAAAGTGTATACCCTGTGTCCTAGTCAACAAGGTCGATTCTGTCTTTATTTATTGCTCACTCTGATGTCTTGGTCCCTGATCTCTTTTATAGTGTATTCCTTGGACATGCCATCCTTTTCCTGCAGCTGGCCTTGGCCTTGTTCTGATTGCCTGCAATCTTCTTTTCCTAGCTTTGCAAATGGTTGGCTCATTCTTATTTCTCAGGTCTCAGCTCAAATCCCACTGCCTCAGAGATGCAGCCCAGTCACTCACCCAGGCCCCACTCTCATCACCCTGCAGCTATCTTTCATATCTGCACTGTCATCTCTCCTGAGAAGGCAGAAGTTCTTTGGTGACTGGACTGACCTCCTCAGACTGACATATTTTTTCTCTAAGTGGTGCAGTAGCTGGCTCATAGAAGGTGATTCCTTCTCCTAAGGAGATTGGTGATTCCTCCAGTAACTATCTGAGGAATAAATGAATGGAATCATAATTGAATGAAAAGGTGTTGCAGTCATTAAAAACAGATTTGAACCTGAGTTTCACCACTTCCTGTGTGACTTTGGGCAAATTACGTTATCTCTCTGGGCTTCAGCTGCCTCATCTGTAGTGAGCAACCCTATCTGCCTCACAGAATATTGTAAAGGCTAATTATGATACTGGCTATGAATGCACCTGCCATAGTACCTGAGACACATTAGATGCTCAGTCCACTCAAAATCTGCTGCTTAATTCTGAATATGCGTAGAAGAGTTCCATCAAGCTTGATTAAAGGAGCTGTTTGTGTGGTGTGCCTGAGTGTGTGCGTGTTATCCATAAGATGACTGTGACTCTCCTCAGGTAACACTTGCCTGGCCAGGAAGATAGTCCTGATCCAAGGTATCAGCTATTGCTCTGAATGATGCTCAGCCTGACAAGCCCAAGGAGCTGAGACCAGACCTTTCACTCGGGTGCTGAACACAGACCCCCAAAATCTAAACAATCAAACCTTCCATGGTGTGGCCTATTTCTTGTCAGTGTCTAGACAGTCATCTCCTTTGGGAAATCACTGTTGCTCTGAGAGGAGGCAAGTGATCTCCAGGCAAGAATATAAAATGGGCCTGTGAGCTCCTGGGGAGGAGGGGCCACTGTGAGGTTGTGAGGGTCTGTGGAGCGGAGCCTACAGAGGGAGTGTCTGCTGCTGTCCTCATAGCTGCCTCTGCATTGTAGTGGAGGCCTTCTCCACAGGTGTTGGTCAGCTGATCCCATGGTGCCTGGGAAGGTGGAAGCCAAGGATTCTGTGCTTCACTGAGGGGTGCTGAGAGGAACTGAAGGACAAGCCTGGGACATTGGATACCTGCTGGGGAGGGGGCAAAAATACTCAGGCCGTTTGCTTTTTTGGCACAATGGCCTAGGTGGCTCCTTCTACAGGCAGTTAAGGTGAGTGTTGTAGGTGAGGGCTGTAGAAATAGACCTAGGTTCAAATCCTGATGATTGCAGTGACTTGGGCCAAGTTACTTACTGCCTAAGCTTTAGTTTGCTCTTTGTAAAATGGAGATAATAATGATTCCTATTTTATTTAGTTGCTGTGAGGGTTAGATGACGTAGTACATGCAGAAATCTTAGCTCAGTGCCAGGCACATAGCCATTGGTCAGTAAGTGATCATTCTTTTTATTAGTCAGGACAAATCAGGATTTTGAGTTTTGTATTTCTAACAAGACTCACTAACACTGAACTCTGAGTCTTGGTTGCCCACTTGGCAGCTGTGTGCCTTAAACAGGTTATCAAACGTCTCTGAGTAAGTGTCCTTATCTTGAGATCACAGTGCCTGATGCATAGTAAGTGCTCAAAATACTTATTTCCTGCCCCTTTGGGTCTCGAGCATCTGAAATACGGTCCCTTTAAGCTTGTTAAGATTCCTCACTAGCCTTGTATGCAGCTGTGGGCAGACAGCTTTGGCAGAAGGAAAGAGACTCTTTTTTTTTTTTTTTAAATGACTGTTTCATAATCTTTTGGCTCAGATCTGCTGCTGCCACACCCTATGCTTCTTAGGATCCCCGGGTCCTGTTGCAGTTAGCATGTGCCTTGCCTATAACCTAAATGACCCTGGCTGCTATGCAAGGTGTTACTGAATGCAAAATGAATTTTCTTCCCTGCTCTTTGGGGCGAAGCAGGCTCAGAGATTCTTAACTGCAGAGGGAGGGGCTGGCAGGCCTGGACTGCAGTTGCACTTAGCGGCCAAGGGTTTTTCTGGTTTTCATTAAAATTCTCTGGCTGTCTTTCGGATTGCTCCATTGGATATGACTGCACTGGAGCTGGTCGTGCTGTTCTTTCAGCCACACACCCATCAAATCACAGAGCCCCTCAGGACAAGAGAAAATTGAAGGTAGGGGTCTTGCTCAGCTATATTTGTGGTAAGGAGCTCCCGTCTATACCTACAGAGTTTGAATTCTGCAAAGTCTCAAATACAGATGGGGAGGCAGATGTAGCTGAGCTGGGAATCTTGCTTCACCTGGCTTTTGAGGACAGACTTACTCTTGAGGATGGATGGAGGTTTCCTGGTAGCTGTCAGGGGGTCCCCAAGTGTTACATTAAATGAAATCAGCATAATGTGATCATTCTTCAGAAGTGCTGATACTCTCTTATTCCCCCCGGGAACTGGGGTTGGGTGGCAGTTCTCCGAGGGTGACAGGCTGAATTAGAGCGGAGAGGATTCAGTTTTAAATGTTAATTTCTGCTAGCTGACAGAATCTCCCTTGAGACTGAAACTAGAGTCTGGAAACCTAGGTTCAAATCATGACTCTGTTATTAAATTGCTTTTTGACCTTGGGCAAATTACTTTCCTGAGTCTCAGCTTCACAGTGCAGTTGTGAGGATTAAATGAGATAAATTATGTAAAGCCCTGGGCATATCATATGTTCTCAACAAATGGTAGATGTTGTTATAAATTGGGGTAGTTTTGACCTGTCATTCCAGCTTGCTGAGATATATCCCGGTTCTGTCATCTAACATGTTCATTCTGCATCCTTCCCAGCTTTGAGTCATTTAAGAATTTGAAGCAAACGCGTTCCCTAGGGCAAGCTGAAACTCCTCTCACTGGAAAAAAATACATCAGAACCATATTATTATGTTTCCCAGTGAGAGGCTTAAGATGTTGGATATTTTATGTTTAGTTAACTTAGGAAAAAAAGGGTTTGTTTCCTATCGTTTTTGATGGGTAGATTGTGAGAAAGCTATTTTAATTGATCTTGGATATAAATGTCTCTTTTTTTTTTTTGAGACAGGGCCTCAAGCTGTCCCCCTGGGTAGAGTGCCATGGCATAGCTCACAGCAACCTCCAACTCCTGGGCTCAAGCGAGTCTCTTGCCTCAGCCTCCCAAGTTGCTGGGGCCACAAGCGCCCGCCACAACGCCCGGCTATTTTTTTTTGGTTGTAGCCATCATTGTTGTTTGGCGAGCCCGGGCTGGATTCGAACCCGCCACCTTAGGTGTATGTGGCTGGCGCCTTAGCCACTTGAGCCACAGGTGCCGAGCCAATATAAATGTCTCTTGATGATACTCCTGAGAGCATCACGAAGGCCCCTATTCACCTTCAGAGTAAATTTCTTTTCCTGTCTTTTTTCCTTTTACTCTGCTCTTCAAACCCATTTGAACCTTATATTCTAGCCACTGTGGACAGCTTACATAAAAACAATTAACATGAAACACATAATATACACCAAAGAGTGTTATAAGTAGGTATTTGCAAGTTAAAGAAAAAGGTTAAAATAAAATTGTGTACTTATAATTCAGTTTCTCTAATGGAGCATTACAAGTACCCTCCACCCCAAAATCACACCCCCTTCCCTCCTCACCGCACATAATGATTACCCTGACTTTTGTCTTGATCATTCTCTTACTTTTCTTTAACTACCCATGGGTGTATTGCTAAAACACATTGTTTTTTTTAAAAACAAACCTACTAAGCTTTGTAAGAAAAGGACCACTATGAGGGGCATAAAATCTGGGTCATAGTCTGACTTACCCTTCCTGGGGGGTTACAGAAGGCCCTAGTGGGGAAGTCAGTGGGCAAGGTTGTTAGAGAATTCTAGGAAATACAAGTCTCACCACTGTTGGGGCATCTGATGGGGTTATAGGGTGGGCTGGTACTGGACATACGATAGGAAAATGGTCAGAGAGATTGGACTGTAGTGTCATTTTTACTTCTAGTTTCTTTTTGGCCTACCGCCAGCTCTCAGGGAGCAGGTCAAAGCAAAACTCTTCTCTAGGATAAGACAAAGGGCATCAGCTGGCCTGGACAGATAGGATGGAGGAGATGAGCGGTCACTTCATCACAAGGTCAAGACAAATGGAATCAGAAAAGAGTCTGGGCCACGTTTACCTGTGCATTTTTTTTTCAGGTTAAAAAGTGAGTATTCAATACCACCTATGGAGTATCCTTCCCTAAAAGTTGACCCATAAAATCTACTCTAGCCTCTAGAGCTAACCTTAATTTATTGGAAAGATGGGGGAAAGGATGACAAGTTGAATTACATCTAAGGAGGCAGATAAATTTAGAATGCAGAGCATTCTGTTGGACAACTGACTTGGCTTCTGCAACAAGTCCGTGGCATGAAAAAACAATAAAATGACTTAAGAATTATAACCAAATATAATGTAGGAACCTTGTTTTGATTCGGATAGTCTATGTTAGTTTGCTAGAGCTACTGTAAAAAAACATCACACACTGCTGGGCACAGTGACTCACACCTGTAACCCTAGCCCTTTGGGAAGCTGAGGTGGGAGGATTGCTGGAGCTCAGGAGTTCAAGACCAGCCTAAGCAAGAGCGAGACCCAGTCTCTACTAAAAATGGAAAATTTAGCCAGCCGTTGTAGTGGGTGCCTGTAATTCCAGCTATTTGTGAGGCTTGAGGCAGGAAGATTGCTTGGATCCAGCCTGGGTCCAAGAATGAGACTTTGTCTAAAAACAAAAAGATACCATACACCCATTGCTTAAACAACAGAAATTACTATTCTGACAGTCTGGAGGCTATCGTCCAAGATCTAGGTGCTGGCAGGAATGCTGTCCCCTGAGGCTCTCTCCTTGGCTTGCCGATGGATGCCCTCTGGCTGCCTGTTCACAGGGTTGTTGCTCCCTGCACGTATGCCCCTGGTGTTCTGCTGTGTGTCCGAAGCTCCTCTTTTTTTTAAGGATATCAGTTAGCTTAGATTAGGGCCCTCTCTATCAACCTCATTTTAATTTAATTACCACTTTAATAGCAAATATACGTGCAATCACATTCTGAGGTACTAGAGATTAGGGCTTGAATATATGAGTTTACCAGGGAGGAGGCACAATTTAGCTCTTAACAATCTAATTTTAAAAAGGCATTTGTGAGATGTTGAGGAAATTTTATTATGGACTGGGTATTAGATAACATCAAGGAATTACTGTTAATTTTATTTTCCTTATTAATTTTTTAAAGTGTGATAATAGTATTGCAATGTAAAAAAGTGGGTAATATAGAGATGGGTTCTGAAGTACATAGGAATGAAATGGTATAATGTAGAAGTTGTTTTAAAATATGTAAATAAAGAAAAAATAGGGGGGAGAAAGGATAGATCGAGCTAGTATGTCAAAATCTTGATAATTGTTGAATCTGGGTAATGAGTATAGGGAGTCTACTTTTGTGGATGTTTGAAAATTTTATAAACATATATTTTAAATATTTGAACCAGAACACAAAAGAAGATTTAATGGCAGTGGGAACTGTCTCCAGTCTGTCTGTCCCTTCAGCTGTACTTCTTCAGCCTGTTGGCTTCCATGCATGAAAGTCTTGTTGGGGTCCTCTGTTGCCAATCTCTTCGCTAGATCCTCTGTTTCTTTTTCTTTTTTTGAGACAGTCTCACTTTGTCACCCTTGGTAGAGTGCGGTGGTGTCATAGCTCACAGCAACCTCAAACTCCTGGGCTTAAGTGATTTTCTTGCCTCAGCCTCCCAAGTAGCTGGGACTATAGGCACCCGCCACAAGGCCCAGCTGTTTTTTGGTTGTAGTTGTCATTGTTGTTTGGCAGGCCTGGGCTGGGTTTAAACCCACCAGGTCTGCTGTATGTGGCTGGTGCCCTCGCTACTAAGCCACAGACACTAAGTCCCTTGGAACTTTTTTTAACTTCTCTCTGTTGTTTTCCTTATCTTTGTTTTTTTAATTTTATACTTTAGAAGATTTCTTCAACTTTATCTTTCAATCCTTTTGTTGTTTTTTTAAAAAAAATTCTGCTATTATATTATCAGTGTCTAAGAGCTCTTTTTGTTCTTTGTTTCCTTTTTATAATATCCTATTTTATTTCATGGATGTAGTTTTCATTCTTTTTTTTTTTTTTTTTTTTGAGACAGAGCCTCAAGCTGTCCCCCTGGGTAGAGTGCTGTGACATCACAGCTCATAGCAACCTCCAATTCCTGGGCTCAAGCGAGTCTCCTACCTCAGCCTCCCAAGTAGCTGGGACCACAGGCACCTGCCACAAGCCCGGCTATTTTTTGGTTGCAGACTTCATTGTTGTTTGGCAGGCCCAGGCTGGATTCGAACCCACCACCTTAGGTGTATGTGGCTGGCGCCTTAGCCACTTGAGCCACAGGTGCCGAGCTGTTTTATTTCATTTTTGTGAGGATATTAATGGTATTCCCGCCCCTGTGTAATATCTGTTTCCTTCAAGTTGCTTTGTTGTGTTTGCCCTGGTCTGTAACTTCATTAGAGGTTTCCCAAGATGTCTCTCTAAATGTGATCCTTGGCTGTGTCACTGTCAACTGAGAAGGAGGGAGAAAAGCTGTCAAGACCTTGACATTATAGTAAGGGACAGAAGCCACTCACAAATCATACAATGTACAGTTTCATCTATAGGAAATGTCCAGAATAAGCAAATCTGTAGAGATAGAAATTAGATTTAGGCTCGGTGCCTGTGGCTCAAGTGGCTAAGGCGCCTGCCACATATACCTAAGGTGGCAGGTTCGAATCCAGCCCAGGCCCGCCAAAAACAATAACGACGGATTTTTAAAAATGCTGTTTTTAAAAAACGCTGATTTTAAAAAATGCTGTTGGGAGACTTGGAATGTGGAATGGAGATCATTAACTCTGATCATTACAATAATAACAGAGAAGTCAGAAAAGTCTTCTACCCTCCTTTGAGAGTGAGGTTCTGCCTGACAATGCTCAGGTGTCCGAGGAGGAGTGTAGGGATCTTTCCCCTCCACTGTCAGTAGGCACAGTGCCTTGCCTTTGATACGTGTCCCCTCAGCCATGCTGGGCACTTCCAGTCCAGAGACACTCTTCCTTTCTATTATTGGAAATTCCAAAGATTTACAGAAATTACCCAGGTACCCATAGCTCGGGTTCACTAGTTTGTGGATAATTTTG